GGATGCAACTGTGACCATAATATAATAATAATATTTGGCATGAACCACTTTGTTATAGGGTTCTGGTAGTAACCACTCATTTGTGGTGTCATTTGGTGGCAAAACCACTCGAATAGAGGACGGGCTATGCACTTACTGACATGCAATTATTTTAATTGTGAATATATGAATACACTTAATATAACACTAGCCCTCTGAGAGCTGAAGTCAGTCTAAAATTTATCACTCTCGACAAACTGTTGCGAAAGGTGGATAGATTTTTGTTTTCAGCTTTTAAGTGTTTGAATTTTAGCTTAAATTTTGGTTGATTATTTTAAAAATTTTTATTTAAAATATTGACCTCTCCGGTTGAAATCTTCGATCTACACGATCATCGTCATGACGTTAAGCTTTATAAACATTTATATTTGAAAGGAGCATTTAGTTTCGTCATTTTAAATTTTTTTGTTAAAATAAAAGTCCAGTCGACTCATATTCTTATAGGTAATAGGAGTGGGCTATGTTATTTGAACTTGTGGAATGAAAAACACTAATTTAACATTTATTTATGTGTTAAATATAAAGAGTAATATCCTAAACCTGGGTCAGCTTCTAGAGATAGGTTATGATATTCATTTGAAAGATAAGAATCTTTGTATAAGAGACAATATGAGCAATCTAATTGCAGATATACAAATGTCAAAAAATAGAATATTCTTATTTAACGTTCAACATGATATTGCCTGGTACAAAGATTCATCTTGGTTCTACATCTTCGATTTGAGCATCTTAATTTTGGAGGAATGAAGCTATTATCAAAGACGATATTGTGAGAGGTCTGCTTTGCATCGATCACCCGGACTAGATAAATGAAGGATGCTTGCTCGGGAAGCAATTCAGGAAGAGCTTTCCAAAAGAGTCAAATTCGAAAGCACTAAAACCACATGAGCTCATACATACGGATATCTACGGTCTAATTAAGCCAAACTCTCTTGTAAGAATAACTATTTCCTTCGCTTCATAGATAATTTTTTAAGAAAAATTTAGGTATATTTTTTAAAGTAAAATTGGAGGACTTTGGAGTATTCAAGAAGTTCACAGCTTTGGTGGAGAAAAAAAAGTAGCCTCGAGATCAAAA